CTTTAAGACAAATTGGGGTTCATATAGGCGTTCAATGCATAGGAAAATCAGGCAAGCTTTATCGGCATTCCGATAAGTATTAAACACCCATATGAATTTGATTTGTACAGAATTTCATATCGATATCAGGATTACGCGATGCCGATTAAAGCCCGATTTACCTTCATTCACCTGTGTATCTCAACTAATTAAATCAAATATAGTCCGAGTAACCTTTTCTTATAATAAATATATACAGTATATATATATATTATATATAGATTGCTTTTGGTTATTAAGAATAAAAAAAAAAACTAGTTATAAAAAAAAGAAATATATACTGTATATACGTATATAATATGTTATCTTTATTATCTTCGGTTTAAATAAATAAATTTTAATTATTACAGAATATATATCTTAAAATCCGCTATATATAGTAATTAAAAAAAACTTGTTAATAATATCTGCCTAGTTGAAATCAAAAATATCAGAAAATATCAATATAACTTATATGTAACTTATACAGTATGTAACCTAAAGCTAGCTTATTAAAAATTATAAAATATAGACTAATTTTAGATTACATATAAGTTATATATAAGTCACATATCGGATACTGATATTTTACTAATATTTTTGATTTTAACTAGTATAATCTTTATTTATTAAATAATTAATAAAGTTTTGCTATTTAGTTATATATTTCAGTATGTGTTATAGAAGACAAATCTTAATACATTTGGTATTACTAAATATATACTGTAATCTAAAAGCAATTATACAAACAACAAATACATAATATATAATACTATTTGCCCAATTTGATCAATACCGTATTAAATCCTTTAACTAGATTAGTCAAATATTGGTCTAGCCAAGTTTGATTATTGGTTAGCACTAGTTGAAATCAAAAAAAATATCAGTATATATCTAATACAGTATACTGTATACGTATATAACTTATTATGTAACTTATATGTAACCTAAAGCTAGCTTATACTGCATTGGTTTATTAAAATTATAAAATATAAAATAGCTTTAGACTACATACAGTATTAAGTTATATATATATATATAGTATATATTTTACTAATATTTTTGATTTTAACTAGTGTAGTTCAGCCTAACTCTGATTTGCAATAGTAGCTATTTTTAATTATACTGTATATACACAGTAGATTTAAATAAAATTTTATTTTTTAAAAAAAAAGTATATTTAGTAATAATACGTACATATATCAAGCAAAAGATCAAGTCTTGAGATTTTATTTATTGCTTGAATAATCACAATTTATTTATAGTAAATAAAAGAATCTTTTATCAAAATATAACAAATATTAAGGCAATAAAGAAGCAAAGAATTATTTTTTATCATAATACAGTATAAGAAATTGCTTTTATATAATACATAAATATAATTTCTAGTTTCGGCCTATAAAATGTCTCTATTTACCCATTTTTTGAATACATAAAGATTTATTATTATCATTGTTATTACAACCTGCAGTTTATAATCAAAATATTATTCGAAAAACATTAGCCTACACTAGTTATTTTATAGCTGTATGCTAGCTACTTAAGAAGCTGGAGATTTATTTATTAGGTAAGCAGTATAAGAGTATGGAGGTAATACAGTATATACATTTATAGGTGCTGAAACAGTGATTTCCCGAAAGAGTAGGGCTGAGAGTCACTGTAACAGACCAGGTAGAAAATAGTTGAGCAATGTCAACGTGATTATCAGCCGGTGGTTTTCCACCTGCCAAAGCAAGCTGGCTGTAAAATGGCAGAATCAGGTGGCTGTCTTCGCACTATTGGAAGCGGGCTGGGTAGGCAAAAAATTAATTTCTCGCTGAAATTTCGGGTGAGAGTTATCATAGCCGATATTTCGTGTATTTATATGAAAAGGGGTTGGTGGCTTGTTGTACATTTGCTTTATGTGCAGTTCTGTGGCTACCGATCATTAGTGATGCTGGGTCTTCATATAATTGGTCTGATTTGTTGTACACGTGATTTTGTGGTTGTCGATTATCAGTGATGCCGGGCATACATGTGTTTTTCATGCTTGGATGCTTGAAATGGCTCTGATCATTATGTACTTAACGGAGCTGGTTCATGTGTACTGATTGGGGTCGGTGCTGTAGTGTGTAACTATGCCCGGCCTTATTTTTCGATCAGTTGACTCTAGTCAACTAGCACGAAAAACATTGGCCTGCACTAATTATTTTATAGCTGTATGCCAGCTACTTAAGAAGCTAGAGATTTATTTATTAGATAAGCAGTATAAGAGTATAGAGGTAATACAGTATATATATTTATAGGTGCTGAAACAGTGATTTTCTGAAAGAGTAGGGCTGAGAGTCACTGTAACAGACCAAATAGAAAATAGTTGAGCAATGTTAATGTGATTATCAGCCGGTGGTTTCCCGCCTGCCGAAGCAGGCCGGCTGTAAAATAGCAGAATCAGATGGCTGTCCAAGGGTGATGTTTTGATTTGACCGTTTTGCACCAAGGTTTCTCTCTTTTTTTTTTTTTTTTTGACCCTTGACGCTCGTTGTCCACCTGATTGTTCTTTGACTTTCGAAGCTCGTTGCTGCAGGAGGTAGTTGGCTAAGTCGGTTGGTTGATGTTGGTGCTATGCGGGGCTACTTGTCTTGCTTGTTCGGCATCATTGTTTTGCTATTCACCTTTTTTTTTTTTTTTTATATATCTTAGTTTTGGAGTTGTGTGTTTTTTTTTTTTTTTTTTTCTTCTTTTTTCTTTTTGTTTGTATGTATCAATGTATTGCTGCTATCATTATTTTTGTTTTTCTCTTTTTTTTTTTTTTTTGTATTTCTGGGCGTGTGAAATAATACCGATTGGACTGCCTATTCCAAGAGTGATAAAGCAGGTCAATTGGTGTATGCTTTTGTTAGGATTGAGGCAATCGTTGCTGGGTGGCTACGTATGTATCTGTAGAATGATTCAGAATCCCATCTGCCGATTTTTTGGATTAAGATTAGTTGGACGCCGTGTGTAACAAGCTCGATGGTTCCGCCTGCCCAGAAGCTGTGTCCCGCCATGTCCTTGTTGGGAAGTAGCTGTTTGAGTTTGGTTATAAACTAGCATTTAGTGGCCCAGGAGTTGTTCTCCTTTACGAAGAGCATATTACTGTTGAGGGCGTAAGTTGGTAGGATGTGAATGCTAGCATATGCTTTTATAGCACATACGGGACATAGTGCGTCATTGGTAGAGTGTATAATTAAGGAGAGGCAGACAGTGGATTTGTGGCTTTTTGTCCGGGGTAGTTGGATAGTTGCGAAGGTGCTGTTATTGGTTTTCTCAAATTTTAATGCTTTCAGAATAGGGACTTTGTTGGTGTCCGATTGGTTGTTTGGTAATAACTCTCCTAGCCTTGCCAAGCCGTAGAATACTGAAAGGGCTATTGCCCAAAATAGGAGGTCAGTCTTGTTGGTTATATTAAGTTGCTGTTTTATTTGTGTGAGATGGTTTCGGGTAATGTGAGTTTTCTGATTCACTGGTTGGTGGAAGTGTGTTTCTTCGATAGTCTTGAGTAGCTGTGTGATGAGGGGGTCATAACGGACCTAGGTCTAATCTTGGTAGTTTCTTTTGTAGTGATAATTCAGGGTAGACAGATATGTGGTGATAGTGGGGGCGTGACGCTTGTGTGGAGAAAGATAATATACTTGATGAGAGATTGTATGGATATGGGCTACACTGATCTGTCGCTGTGGTCTATTAGTTAGAGATAGCGAGATTTTTGTATCGCTTAATTATGGCCTCGTAGGCTTTTCTGGAGGGGGTTGGTATGTTGAGTAGCTGTGCAGCTTGGGTGTCGAGAGTGGGTATGGTCCCGAAAGAGTTGGTTTCGATGGGGTTGGGTGGCAGTGATGGGTGGGGTGTGTGTTGCTATGCCCTATTGTTTTAAAGATGGAATTATTGAGGTTAGTATTTTGTATGTATCTGGGATGTTGGGTTGGAGGTAACGGGCATATAGGTTGTCTCTAATGAACTCTCGGTGTCTATTTCTTGAGAGTAAGTCTGCGTCGTAGTTGTGTATGCCGGGTATGTGTTCGAGTTTAATGGCAACATTTCTTTGAACTTGTGAATTGTATATTAGAGCGATCAGTTCGTTGATGTCGGGATTTTTGCAGTATCCGGCATAATATGCTTCCGCGTTTAAGAGGTTGTCAGTCCAAATTATGAGCTTGTTTCTTTCTCACATTGGGGCGAAGGTGTGTATGGCAATGAGTGTGATTAGGAGTTCGCGTGTTTGGATGTTGGTTTTGTTGAGGTCGATATCGTTGGCCCATGCAAAAGCGGTGAAGTAGTTGCGGTATACTGCCCCTCTGCCTATGTTGGATGCGTCCGTGAAGAGGTTGAGGGTGGTAGGCTGGTTCCATTTTTGGTCTTGTAGTAGGTGTATGCCAGACCAGCTCTGTAAGGTGGTTATCTACCATTGAAAATCGCAAGCTATGGGTTTGGTAATACGAATATAGAACTTTGGGTTGTTGGCTATTTCTTGGGCTTTAATGAGGCGTTGAATGAACGGTCTTCCTTGTGGTATAATTTGGCATACCCATACTAGGGAGCCTACGATTGATTGAAGCTCCTTGCGAAAGCACCATTTCTTGTTTGACTACTGAGGGACTAAGCTAATTAATTTTTCGTGCTTTGAAAGCGGAATTGATGCTTTCATGGTCTGTGTATTTAGCTCGATGCCTAAGAAAGTTACGTTTGTGCACGGGCCTTCTAGTTTTTCGAGCTTGTAAGGTACGTTGAAGATGCTGAGGATGCGCAAAAATTGTTGAAGCTCTCTTATCGAAGTATAGGTTGGTGCTATGGCGAAAGCTTTGAAGAATTTGATCGACAGGATAAACAGGAAGGATTCTGTAAGCGTCTTTGATATCGATTTTTGACAATGAGCACCCATTGCCGAAGTGGTTGATCCAATGTATGTGTGGTTTACGTTTTCATACTTCGTGGAAAACTCGAGTTTGTCGATTCTGTCATTTATGCTATTTTCTAGGAGAGAAGACAGATGGGAAATAACCCGGTATTTCTTGGAGTTGGTGTCTTTCTTCTCGACAAGGCCGCAAGGGTTGACCTGAATAGGTTGCAAGGAGGGTTGTCTATGTGAAATGGGCCGCAGATGCGTTTGTTGGTGAGTTCTTCCGAAATATACGTTGTGAAAGCTTCGGGTGCCAGGTTTATTAACTATAGATTGTTCTAAATTAACCGGTTTTGTTGGCCTTTTAAATTAAACCTGAAACCCTGTTGGATGCCATTGATGATGTAGCTGATGAACGGCCGGTTGGGTTGCATTTGTGTAAGAAGGTGGAGAGCTTGGATGTTTATAGGTGTTTGGATATTAAAATGTGCAGAGTCGAGTTGCCAAAGTAAGGTTGACTCGATGTCTGTCAAGGGTATAAAAGGTGGGGAAGCATTGGTGATTGTTTCGTTGATGGATTGAAGCATGGGAGGTTCGTCAGTTGTGATGTTTCGTGATAGGTTGAACTGTGCTGTGTACTTGAACGTGGGATAGTGGGCTTGTGCCATGTCTGCGATAAAGAGAATAATACGTACGGAAGTTAATATGGCTGTCAGTATGTTATTGATGTATTTTTTTATTTTTTATTTTTTTATTATAATTATTGTTATTGTCTATGTATTTTTGTGGTTATTCGTTCTGTCTTGTATTATCATTACTACATGTTATTATTATTATTATTATTATTATTATTATTATTATTATTATTATTATTATTATTATTATTATTATTATTATTA